TATATATATATATATATATATATATATATATATATATACATATAGCGAATTCAAGTTACATTTATCCCTAGATCCCCCAATTAATATCAGTTCATCCGTTGTCGACCGACTACTGAAAGTATAGAGGTTGTGTAGTTGCAGGTTCATTCGACAAAGGTTCTGGAGAGTACAAATGATGATTTGTAGGGTTCAGGTTGAACCGACTCAGTCAGTTGTTTGATGACTGTGAAGAGTGAATGCCAATCGCACGATCTGCCACGGCTGCTGGTTGCTGAACCCGCTCCCGAGTATCCATGTCAAGAGAGGGCAGCAAGCAATACTTTTGAGTCAAGCGATCTAGGATATTGAAAACGAATGGGCGATAACCTGTTTTTGGGATCACTGTCATCATTAACTTGGATGAGGGAAAAGGATTCTACATGTTGGGGATGTCAGTATCCCCAAAAACTGCTTATTTTCCGAGCTATTGCCAATTTATTTTCAAAAATTTTTAAATTTCGCGCCTTTTCCGACATGTTGCACCTCAATCCGTAAAGACCGCGCTCTTTTCCTATTGGCCAGTTATACTTTGTGCGCATTAACTGACTTATCGCTCCCCAAGGTCGCTCGAAATATATATATATATATGACATTGCTCCCACTGTAATTCGCCTTTGTTTGAGGCAGTAAAAGCCCTCTTCTGAAGGTCTGGTCTTCTTCTCTGTCTGCGCTAGGAGTGGTTGGGCTCGCGTCATAGCTGGGGAGTTGTGCGCTCGTTCTCAGGTCGCGTATATCCGTTGATCGTACCCGATTCCGATACATATCACTACAGTCCTCTGATATGGGAATTACCAGCGTAACAAACGGAGCTGAGCAGGAAAACTGCTTTGTTCAGTCAAAAGAAGCAGGCAATACAGAATCGAGGTTCTCACCAAACTTGGGTAATGTTCACCAGACGCCAAAAAACTACGAAATCCCTTACCCATTTCTATTCACTACATGGTACAATCGAGCTCGCCACGGCGTTGAAAAACGGATTGAAATCGATTTGACATAAGAACACCCTAGACGGCTACATGGGGCGAGATGGACCAAGTGGTTAGAGCGCGAATTTACTGACCGGAGGGTCCGTGGTTCGAACCCGACCTTTGTCACTCGACTTCCCCTGTCTAGGCTTGGGCAACCTGGCAGTATCCCAGCCCTCGTGCCTCCTTCGGGTGGCATGGCAGCTAGGCACCGAAAGGTGCTACAGCTGGACGATCATCATCATCATCATCATCATCATCATCATCAGATGGCTACAGCTACTATGATATCCTGTCTTAAACTACTGGTTTATCGGGAGTTTGTCAAGTGTCCAGGTAGACGGGTTTATCGTACAAACTGAACAGCTCTATTTTACATTTCTAATGAACATCCGGTATTTGTGAGGGATACATAAAGCCCCAAAAGAAGGATCTTACTTGAAGCCTTCCGACTCCACTTCCTTAAAGACCCGCTTTCCTTAGCGAATTACCGCTTTCCTTACTCTGTCTGAACAACGCTTTGAAGGTAGCTCTGATTCCGGTAGCAAGCAGTCCTGTTATCAGAAGTCGGAGGAGGGATTGGATGTTGCAGCAAGCACGCCTGATACACAGTTGAAGACAACTTATTTCTTTGATGAAGACAGGCAGTGAAGACCCGCTCACTTTGGAAGATATGTGATGAGCAGAATGGCTTTCATGCTCGAAAATAGAAATCCATTGCCATAGCTGGGGAAAGTAATTGTGGCGTGGTTGAAAAGGCTTATTGTGAGGAGAAAGATAGTATGATAAGTTAACCCATTAGGAAGTCACATCAAGTACTAGATTGGATATTTAATGGAAGATATGACGCATAAGTTAAGCCTTTCGAGTGTTTGACCTCATCGACTTACCGGTAGTCCCAAAACATCCAACAAAAGACCGTGTGCTGTGCCCTCATTGTGTGAAATAGGGACAGGACGAGTAGTATCACCAAAGGTCTCTGGCAGGGAGGGCAAGTCTGAGGAAGCATGCGAATGGGTGGTCAGAATTTCACCAGGCCTATGTCGCGCATTCAGTATGTCCAGGCTGTGAGCGAGCATACGGCAGCTTGGACCACCTGAAGAGCTGGCGGTTTCAACAAGACGACCATAAGGCCATTTGGACCATGCGAACAAACAAGTCAGCGCGGACCGCACCGCAGGCAGTGTTGACCGAGAGGCGTTGTGAGTTTGCTTACCTGAAAGCGTTGCAACCTAAAATACCAAATGGAAGAGTTATCACTGTGAAAGTAAAACATACAGAGCTGATGTATTAGCAACAAAATGAACAGTTTCAAGCCACAACATCAGAACAGCCCCAAGCTTTTTGACGGTTACTAATGCAAAGATATTAGTGTACAGGCAGGTGCATCGAACGCCAGCAAGGCTCGTTGAGCACACACGAATGTAGAGAGTGCATGATTTATCAAGCGTCACACGAAAAATCCTCCAGAACAAGCAAACTCCCCTGCTCTAAGTAACCGATATGGTTCAACCCACAAATTCCATGACCTAAATACCTGGTAAAACATCACATCCCCTCTCCGAAACGAACCACAAGATTTCAAAAGTTAGATCCAGCGGCCTTCCAAAAATTAACACTTTCATTCAGAACTCATACCTCCAAATTCTGACAACCAAAAGGTTTGGGGAAGTGGTCAACTGGCAGAAAAACACTCATGATCCTGACTAGGGCTGTCTTCCAGAAAAGCTGTTTTGACAACTTGTCGGTCTCCTTGAAGGAACATTAATATTTTCTTACGCTGACTGACTGAACACTCGTCAGTGTGACTCAGTGGTAATAAACAAAGTGATCGGAACGCTGTAATAGCCAGCACTCCTGGTTGGAAGGTTAAAAACTGCTGCTTCGTTTGAATTAAAGCCGAAAACAATGAAAACGGGACCTAGCTTACATCAGCTGGGCTCCACCACTGGCCATCAGCTCCGAATAACAATGGGAATCGGTTCAATGCGCACATCACAGCCTGAACTTGTTCATCAGAGTTATCAGCAGCTGCTTCATCCTCACGCCCCCGACGGTTGGTCCCGATCGAACTGAAGTTTTGCAAAACGCCATCCTCGAGAAGGCAATAATGTAGCAGAGCGTACCACTGACCCAAGCGGCGCCCGAAGCTTAACCACTGTCTGTAGCGTGTGGGTGAGCTCAGATTGCCATCAAGTTCACTGAACTCCGGACGCAAGGTCAAAACTTCACCAACAGAGGAAGTAGAAGCAATCTGAAGAGAGAGATGCACTGCGATGAGCACAGCTCACAATCCTATCTCAAATGTATCGATAAATAACTGATAGGAAATATTAGTATGTTTGAGTATTTCCCCTAAGCAGATGAAACTAAGATCCGGTGACTGATCAGCTTCGCTATCAAAGAGTCCCATAAAAAGATGGACTTAACACGCAATCATGAAAAAAGATGCTGTACCATGTTGCATTCCACCATCATCATCTAAGTTTATCACAGTCAGTGCTTCATAATTATTGGCGGAACAACAGCAGTTAACGGTGTTTCGAGGAATCACGGAGAACTGGGCCGAGGCACCCAACCATCCTAGCCGTTTTGGTGAGAAAAGTGGGACCCTAGGTTAACTATTGGAACATCCAGTTCCAGTGTCACGGAGCAGAGTAACGGCATTTGGTTTAAAAAATATGATCAGGTGTAACAGAGTGTAACCATGCACCCTATCCAGTCCATGGGTAAACTTTTGTTACCTAAGAACATCTCGTGATTGGTACAGGCATACCTGGTAGAGGTAAAGCAGAAACCATTTTACTATGCTGTTACTGATCCCTGTTCTGACACAATCTTCAGTCCGACAGAGGATCAACAATAGTCAATGGTAAAGAGAAGTGAACCCAACATACATGGAAAAGGTTTCGATAAACTTACGCCCAGGTAGTCCACAAAAAATGTCCGACATGATAGGCCGTAGCAACGTGACAATGAAAAGACGCGGGCTTTTGTTGTTGAATCTGGCCGTGGCAAAGCAGCTGCTTGTGCAACGTACCGTGATGAAACGAAACACTGGTCTTGTATGCTATCGAATTCTGCATCCTCGTCATCATCTGTGATTTTATTCGAACCACAAAGATCAGGTTGGGGAAGTTTGGCTGAATCCCAGGCAACTAGTCCAGGTTCCACGAAGTGGTAGGCGAGATCTTCCTGAAGAGAACTTCCAGTAGGTACCAAATGACGTTTCCGAGTGCTATTATGCAGTGATAGACAAGAACATATCGGACAAACACTTGTCACCCCGGTTACCGCTGCATCGACACCCTTCGCATTATCTAATCTTGGTCGTTTGCCCGAGCGGTCGACCTCAAACTGGTTACAACATGCGACAAGTAAGCAGGGACGACCGGGGGTTGCAAATACCTTCCGGAGCCAGTCAATATCAAGAGGTTGTATAGCAGTCCGTTGAGTTGAATCAGAGCTTAAGAGGCAGTTGAGAGCAAGACGGTAGAGCTGCACCATAAGCTCAGGGGTTAGTTGAGATATGACGGTAATTGAGTGAGCTTCAGCTTGGGATGCGAGAATATTCATCAAATGCTGTGAATGGAAAAGGTGATGACATTAATTCTAAACAGGCTGTCAACAATGCGAACATACGAAATGCATAAGATGAGAGACCGGGTGAGACGCGTCAACAAATCCCGTGATAATTATTGGCCTGTGGAAGGTGTGACTAAAGCATAGGAGGCAAGATACTCTTGTTCGACCGTTTTTATTAGGAACGAAAAGTGCAGGTCAAGGGTATACAATCTCCGACCGGGGAGTGCTGACTTGATACTATGAAGCACCACAAACTGCAAAACCCCTTGACTTCACACCGACAAATCCCATCTGACCTTGAAAAGTTCAACCACACGAGTAACGTCCTCCTGACGATTCATCAGCTGGGCGTAGAAGAGGTTGATCACGTGATAATCCAGCTAGGAGATGCGAGCTGCTAAGTTCAGAACCACATACAGCTAATCAGTTTTGGATGGCTCGTGATTTGACGAGCAAATGTACACTTTGATTTAGCCAGTGCTTGACAAAGAAAAAAATACCGATATCGAAACACTTTTACCAAAGAAGTGTTTTGGGGTGATAATTTTGGCAATCCCACTGAGCCAAAAAAGTTTGAGTTTTCCCGTTTTTTGGACTGATGCGCCGCAGAAGGAACACTCAAAGGCGGACAGGTTCTGTCGATGACCCCTACAAAAGCGGTCTTGTGTGGAGGCCATAGGTATATCTGATGGTAAAAATCGCATTACTGCAGGATACAACAGCAACAGGTCATCTTTGTAACACTGGATTGGGTTAGTCAAAAGTACACCTTTTCTCCTAACCAGCAGTTTGCGAATAATAGCCAAAAGTACATCCCGCAGTCCATAGAAATCCTACCGATGAAGACCTCTTCCCATTCCTGGTCCACAACACGAGTTCCCTGTCAGTCTCAGCCTGTGGTGCGACTCCAAGAAAGTTAACATACCTCGAGGGGAACAAAAGCAGTGGTAATGTCTCTTCAGTAGGGAATAACCAGAAAAATGAATAGGGCACCGCCCTAGGGGAATCGGTCAAAATAGTGAGAGGGTAGAGAAGGTGCAGCAACGCAGGAAGTGTCCATACATTTCACCGTAATCATGCATCATCATCCACTCCATTCTCTAATTCAGTAAATTAGTTCGAACTATAGAAACGATGAAGACCATGCTCTAAGTGCTACAGTGAGAATCTGATGAAAGATACCAAAAGACGTCACGGTGGAGGGGGGACGTTATGGAAATCACTTTGTTAGGACCGTCCAGATCCAACGAATGTAACAAGCATAATGATAGGAAACCAACCGAAAATAGTACCTCAAATGTGGTCCGAGTCAAATCGCTGACCAACCCCAAAGCTGTCGTGAATGGTAGGAAAGGTGGATCTCTGACGATATAAGGTCCCGGGGCCCAAATATGACAAGCGTGTAGCAACAATTTGACTAGATTCAACCGTCCAGCTCGAAGGTCTGCAAAAGCACCTGGAGAGTAAACACAAAGTTCCCCAGCAGGGGCAACCATATCAATTCCACCATTCTCTGTGACAGATTTCTCCACTGGTAACCAAGATTTCTGCCGGAGTTGGTGAAGCCAGGAGGCGTGACCAAACGAACGGGTCCAGGCTCCAGGGGTACGTTGGAGTGAAATAGTCGGAGAGAAGTTGATTTGTGATTCTGCTGAATACTTTGAATACCAGGCGTATTGTACGCTGTCGATGACAAAATAGGAAGAGGGATTACAAAAGACTTTATTAACAGTTCAGCTGTAGCACCCTTCCGGTGCCTAGCTGCCATGCCACCCGAAGGAAGCACGAGGACTGGGATACTGCCAGGTTGCCCAAGCCTAGACAGAGGAAGTCGAGAGGCGAAGGTCGGATTCGAACCACGGACCATCCGGTCAGTAAATTCGCGCTCTAACCACTTGAGCCATCTCGCCCCCTCTTTATTAATAGTATTAATAGCTCAAAACAGAAACGGTGATTGCAATCAGCAGTCTACACAGGAGCGTTGACTGCCACTAAGCAACCCAAACACGAGTAGAAATGAGTGCCATGAACTAACGCACGAGTAAGCTAAAATGTAGGCGTCCATATGCAAACAAGCCCTTCAGAAGTCCATCAATCGGACCAACGTAACACACTCACTTTTCAAACGATGACCAATTATCATGTAACAAACAGGCCAACTGATAAGCTGCCTCAGCCGCGACCTGACGATCGGCCAAACGGGTAATCCAGCTCAGTAAAAGTTCCACTCCAGGAGAGACGAAATCCTCAACAATCCACCATTCATCCGCTGTCGGATTTTCCACAAAATCCGTCTGAGGGAGGCCTTCCTTGATCAGCGCTTCAGATAGGTCTTTTCTCAAACGATGATGAGGAGGAAGAGGAAGTAAACTAGCGTCGGTGGTTAGCATCTCAGACGATTTTCTACCTGTGAGCAACTCGGAGCTCGAAACGAAGTAACGTGATGAATGGACCGACAGAAGTGTACATGATCCTAAGGCGAGGAAAAAACAAATGGGCAGGGCACTGAGTCGTAAGAGGACACGAAAATTATAGAGAAAAAGATAAACACTGGCCTGAGGAGAAAAGGAGTGTCATGACAGAACAAAGATCCTGACGGTGCAACAATAGTCTCGATAATGTTTTGGGTCAAAGCTTCTCACGAGCTAAATGATTCCAGATGCCGAAAAAACCATCGGGAAAGTTTTGACGATCCGTTCGAAAACATCCTAGTGAAATAAGTTTGTGAGCTGTTATATCACCTGAATCAGAAGAGATACAAAAAAACCTGTAAATCTGAGCTACTCAGAAGCTCACCTGCTTCAGAGAAAAGCCGGAAGCATCGATATCCGAACTCAGCTCCGGATGAAGATAGGTTTTCAAAGTATTTAGCCGCAACTAGCTGTACCGGGTCAGATTCGTCCAGTTGGTCGAGGAAAAATCGGAAAAGCTTAGTTTCGAGCTCCTCTAATGTTCCGGTGATGAAATTCGGACGAATCGTGAAAGAGGTTGGTGGTAGGAAAACGGGACATGAGCGCCTGTGGCCAGGAAGGGTTGACAGCGCAGGCAAGATATGCATCTGTTGCACTTTGGTTGCCGTTGCTATCGGAAACCTTGTAGGAAGACCAGAATACTCAGCGTTTTCGCACAGGCATCCACAAGACACATACAGCTGCCCGATGAGCACCACCCAGTTAATCAGTTCGGCGTCCGAGGCCGAGGTAACAGGCAACTCAGCGTAGGCTGCGAGGCCAGGAAGGATCCAGTCAGAAAGAACCACCTCAGGGAGGGCAATGCGCAAACCAATGCCTTGCGGTGAGTCCAGAGTGAGTAAATCAGGCAAGTTGAAACACGGTTCATCTTCAGGGTTAGGCCCAGTGTGGAAGGACAGCGGACTGACAAGAGGTCCCAGTTTGCTGACCAGTTGGATATATTCAGCTGTGAAAGTATGTAAATAAAGGTTGTTGTTGTTGCAAAAACGTGATACTTTATAGCTTTAATTATCTGAGGAAGGGTTGTCATTCATAACAGCTTACCATATTTCAAGTCAACGGACCCTTTCACTTGGGACGGGGCGGGCGGTAATAACACTGGCAACTGACAATTCTTCATAGCTCCATGTTCCCTTGAATCGCCGCAACGGACCAACTGACCGTTAGTCAATGGAAAAATGGCTAGGTGACGTAGCGCAGCCAAAAGTCGACGTCTTAACATGATGTTGGCATTTGGTGCCATTTGGGAACCGGTCTGTCTTGAAGATGGAGCGGACAAACATGATTCGAAATTCATCAACAGGACGCCAAGAAGTCCAGGGCGCGAAAGCTCTTCTGCACGAAAAAAGGGCAGAAGTAAAACGGCGAAGACGAGAACCAGGCTGATGCATTGCAGAGTGAAAACTTCACTGGACTAGATTTCAAATATGCACCGGCTTATGCACAGTCTGACAGACAAAATATGGTAAAGGACCATTAATCCATATGGAACCAGACTAATGCAGGTAGTCAGGAACAACCTTATTATTTCGCCGATGGCTTGCAGAGCAAACCATCCGACCACTCAATTGGACATTCCGCACAGAAGTCACTGCCCGGAGAGAGGCTAACATCATACCATGTGACGAAAAGTGCGTGGCTGAAGAATAGCCATTTATGAAATCCGGATTAACACTAGCAGCCCCAGAAAACGGGTCAGAATTTTCAATGGTAATTTAACGAAATGAGTAAAGAGAGGCGATAAAGTGGTGTGGTAAGCCGCACATGATTGGACATCGTTTTTTGTTCGATAATTGATCCTGACCACTTCTTAAGCTTTAGTTAACAAGACTCAGACTTTCTCAAACTATCGGGCTTCCCCGAACACTTTCAACCGTTCGCATAAATCCCAAAAGCGAAGGGAGTTCGGAAGCTCAATTGGCGACTTTCTGGTGGTAATCGACGACAGTATTAGAATTACTTGTCTACAAGCTAGAGTGAAAGCGCGCATCGTGTGGTCTTTCGTTTCACATCACGTGACTAAAACGTTTGTGAAGTGGTAGAAGGCAACTTTTAAAAGCTTAAGCTACGCTCTATATTTCAATCCTTCCGTCTTAATACTCAATGTGTGGTAAAAGTACCATAGCCGGTCAGATCCCAGGAAGGAGAGTCAAGTTGTCCAGATACATGAGCACTCATTTTCGGGAAGAAATCCAATAAAATCAGGTTGCAAGAATACCTGTAGAGGGGAAATGGACATAAGTCAATGGGAAAAGAAAGTGGCTCACCAGCTGAAAGATTTGAGACCAATTCTAGCAACGAATCCACAGAAATGGTTTGCGCTCCAAGCCAAAGGAGCGCATTGCACCGGCTTCGCGAATTCAACAGGCGAGTTTGCCAGGCTAATAGTCTGGACTCATCCAGAGCCTCCGGCGAATCCCCAACAACTATCTCTTCGTTTGGTGGTTCAGTACCAAGTAAGTCAGGAAGAGGTTCATACATATCCAGGCGATTCATTAGTAGGCGCATCATGTGAGCTGATGAACCAGACTGAAAAGAAATAAGTAGTTTACTGATGTAGTTTTTTTAAATTCGATAGATGGCTGACCCAGAAAAACGTAAGCTCATCCAGAAGAAGCTCCTAAATATGCTGACCACCGTATCCTTTAAGAGTTCCTTACTGGATTAACGAACCTCCGAGTGGTGTGCTGTAGAGGTGGACGAAGAAGCCTCATGCGCTTCTAACAACAGCTGCTTCTCAGACAGATCTGAGCTGTATCAATCCGGTAGAAAGGAATACATAATGTCTTAAGACGGCATCTGGACGCTGGTATTTACCGATGAGGTCGACGATAAGGATAATAATGTGAATAGTGAATACAAGATGCTTGGTGCCACATACCAGAACTGAATTTAGATTGACAACCAGCAGTCTGGAACATACCTTTACCTATAATGTGGTCGTCTCTTGTGCAAAGACAAACTCGTTTCAGTGAGGATTGTGGCGATACAGTATCGAACGAGTTTGAAGGGTACTTGGCACAAGTTTCAGATGGCTGGGAGCAAAGTATCCGTTGACTGTGCGGCCTGATTTTGAGCGCAGTTCTGTTTGAATTTGAGGACAACGTAGATACTAAATAATAATAGAGGTCTAGCTGCAACATCTTTTCGGTGCCTAGTTATCACACCCCTCGAAGGAAGCACGATGGCTGAAATGCTGTCAGGTTGCCCAAGCCTAGACAGGGTTGGGTTAGGATCACGGAAATTCAGTTGCGCACTTTCGTGTCTCAATCATTGAGCTATCTCGAGTTTAAAAGACAAAGTATCCTCTGCGTCCCTTAACATTGTACTCTAGAGCACAGTATCCTTACACTTCCGTTTGCAAAGGGCCCAGTAAACCCGTTGTCCTATCAAACAATCGGCAAGAGTACACACAGAACAAAATAGGTTCGAAAAATAGAACAATTAAAGAAGTGATGAACCAGCGGCTGACCAGATATTCAGATATTCTACAGTTGTAAGGTGGCAACAAGCATACGAGATAGCGGTTATCTTGAGAAAATGAGATAGACTTAATCAGAAAACCCAAACAAGTGCACGGACCAGCGAACACCTTGGCTGTACTAGACAAAGCCTAAAAGTCATTCGCTCAAAATGGAAGATATAATTAAACACAATGAAAGAATATCAAAGCATACAACATAAGGATTTTTGTGGTATTGGAAGAACAGCACATTTTTACCTTCGCTTTGCCCGATGACTATGGTAATTTAGATACCACTAATAATTGCTGCATTACGGTAAAACAGATTGGTTTAGTTTCAACTTGTGAGAAGGAGGACCATAAGTGATGCGATCGTGCTTACTCTTATTGATGCACCCTCTCCAAGCGTGCTGCCATATGCTGCTGACCGACTGTCCGAGTTGAAGTCGAAGGTGGAGAGAAGCAATCGGCCAGCCGTCACGTATGAGCAGCTCACATCCACTGTTTCGTCCCGTTGAGCAGCAGGCAACCAGGGTAACTGACTCAACCGTGAACGCAACTGCGCTGGAAGCCCAAGAAACAGGCCACCGTGGTTCGATGAACCGGCCGGCGTTTGCGAAGATGGCCTGGCAAGAGGTTCACTTGGATCGAACGGTAGTGAGACCAGAAAGCGACATAGAAGTGTATGTCGATTTAGGCCGCATCCTCCAAGTGCATCTTCGGGCAACTGTAATCACACAAAAAATTTCGGAAAGAAAAAAGACTCAAGCACGAAACAACGGAACAATAGACGTAGAAAGTACTGTCACAATTCAACATCGTGAATTGCGACTGTGGTAGTGACAGTGAAACCGAACAGCTCTCTAGATAAAAAGTCCACTGCTAGCCTGGTACAAACATTGAGGTACTTACGTCACCAATAAATCAGTCAGTGTCAACAGGAAGTACCAACGTAAAAACCCAGGGATTTCCTCCGAAAGGAAAGGCAAAATATCCACTAAGCAGTATCAAGTCTTCTAAAAATAAGATGAGTTGTTTCCTACTCATTGCACGTCATCTCTTCGCTTTTCCGAAAGAGGAACTAGAAGCCTTCCATGCAAGTAACGTACTCGACCTCATCCACCAGACAATTAAGACACTAGCAGCTGCTTGGTATTCGTCGTTTAGATGCGCTGGATATAAGCAAATCATGAACAACTGAATTAGGTCGACGTCACACAGGACAGTACAAAAGGGAAGACACTTCCAAGTTTGCGCTAGTATACCACATCCAAGACAAAAGTTCACGGGTATGGCGCATCTTCAGTGGTACCATATCTATCTTATACACCGTCTCTTAGCAGCCCCTTCCGATTCGATGAGTGGAGCCTATCCAGAGCATCATCATTTCAGTCATCTCAATCTAGGTACTGATGAGGATACAGTCTGTGTAAGGATAAGTACTACCGCAGTTGTGGTACGAACGAAACGGCAGTCACCTAAAACTCAGATCGACCGCAGAATGGAAAACAAGTGCGTCATACCTACTGATGAAAGCTACATACCGTCCCAAAAATTAGAGATCCGGATGTTCTTGTCTACACAGCCCTCTTCAAGTAAGTTACAGCAGTACACTGCTGAAACAAAACTCACCTGAAGAACATATTCAATCATGTGGCTCCATACGGTGGGAATTCGACTGACTAGCCATTGATTCCAGACGCTAGTACCATCCACATCCTCTCTAGAGGATGTCAAATCGAAATCAGCTGCAATTGGATAACAGAAAAGCAAAATCAGAATTCAGTGGACAGTAAGTCGAACAAAAACAGAGATTCTTCTGATTGTGCGGCAAAGTAGCCAAAAAGATAGGGCACTCACCATTAATGTAGAATGCGAACCCCGCTGCACGAACAGGCAGATAAGCAAACACCGGACACTGTGGCAGTGGTTCGGAGTCCGTTAGCGAGACGGCCAAAGCAAGTTCTGTCTGCGTTGGAGCATACTGGAATCCCAAGTAAAACCGAAAAGTAAGCGACCACAGAGGACTTCTAGTCACAAGCAGACGCAAAGGAAAGAATATGAGTGGCATGTTGCTAAACTCAATACGCGTTTGTTCTACTGGATACTGTGAGTATGTAGAGTAATTAACAGAAAACGAGCAACCAAATTTGTTATCAGTCACCTTGTTCGATGAATTTGAAGATGCTTGCAGATCATCCGCATCAAATACGGCAGAACGTTAAGAAAACAAACAGGTGATGAACGCCAAGCGTCCTCGACACATGTTCCCCTGTGGTTTGCCATTCAGGCTGAGTTTCACCCTTCACTCGAACGGATCTGTCCAGTTTCTGACTTCGTTCTACGCAACTTGCCTCGGCATTAGTATACGGCTCGCAAGAGGATGAAGGAAACATGCCTACAGCTCAAAACTCATACTCAGCAGAGCTAGATGAACTGGTTTCCAACTGATGTATTTTTCCGCTACATGACATGCATCTCTACCTTGAGAAGGTTGCACTTTTCAAGTTAATCTCATGCGGCGGTATCCCAAAGCTACTATGGCCAGAGGTACGTTCAACATGATTTAGTTCAGGTCTCAATAATGAAACCAGTACGCGTTTCACAGGGAGATAACCACGATCACATGTTGATGCCCTTCTGGACATATGTAAATACCCTACATCAGTTCCAGGCATTGGATGATTCCTGTCACCAGGCCTTGCACTTTGGGATTCTTAGCCATAGTCTTGTGGTTGGACTGGCCGAATGAAATAATTGGCACCCAACCCTAACTGGGAAACCAACGTCGGATTTTTTACCTCTGGTAGTATAGGTAGGACAGGTGAACGCATTTGAGAAAAAAGTCTGCCCTATTTGGTGCTGGATTCGTGCTCTGGACTAAGATGGTAACCTACAAAGACTGGACTAAGATGGTAACCCAAAAAGACAAAAGGTTTCTTCCCCCACGTTATTTGATGAGCTTAGCACCTAAATAAAAACTCTCATTATCGACGGTTTCTTGAGTGTCGATAAACGAATCCTTGTCCAAAGCACGATACTGAAAAGCGAAGAATATTAGTCAAAATACAGCTTCCACAGGGACTTCGTTATTCATCCCAGTCTGCTACTTAGAGGAGCACTGATACCATATACCGTAAATATGGCAAATGATCTGTTGTTGAGCTGGGTAATTCGGCTGCAGATCTCCCAGTAGCAGGCAATGTGAAATTAACCGTACCAACAACGCCCTGATGATGTCACCTAGTGAAGTAATGGAATGTTTACAGAGCTAGACAAACAGGTCTGATCAAAGAGATCAAAGCCCGACTTAACCAATTGTGAACACCAAGGCAGATAGTATGATCAAGCAGTGGCATCGAATATGCGATTCCCGCTAAAAATGGGCTCCGTAAAGTCAATCACGCGAAATCTCAAGATTCAGATAAATCGCAGGGAGAGAGTGAGAGTTCTACCTTGGGCAATTTTTCTTCATTGACTCGCAGCGTTTCTTTGAAGCAAAACCACCTGTGCGTTACAGTTGACGAAGACGATTCACCAGCTTCCCCAGACAGCTGATCCTCACCGTCACCACCTTTAATCATAGTCACGGAGATAATCTCGGCAGTTTTTGGTATCTCGGTAGAAGGTAACGCCGTGGAGTCACGTAAAAGAACGAGCAATTTTCGTCGTGCTGGCTACAAGTAAAAAAAGGAAGGAGTCGAGAAAGTTCCGGTTATCACCGTGATACATAGTAAGGTCATGTAAATTTGGAAGCCCTCCAGTTTCATGATGGAACACGTACTGCAAACCCCTCTACCGTGAAAAATTTCGAGTTCCTCTGAAGTTTCATCTATTGCCAGTCACTTAAAAGTCTGATTCTAGTGCGCTCCCCGTATTCCAAGAAACCATAAAAACAAGGAAAATGTGACCAGCGATTTTTACTACCTCCAACTGATCTAATAGTTCTCAGTACCAGTCAACAACGTTCGACGTTCACTCAGATAGCAAACACAAAATAGTTGATCAACCGAAAACATCATTCATCCTACCTCTTGGTCTGCTTTACAGTCTGGGCCATAGGACAAAGTTAAACACTGAAGACGCCTTAGAAACAACATCAAGTAAGGCGCCAGCGTATCATAAGCAAGTTGGAGAATGGAGCCAAAATTCATAGCCATGGCAGTTGATTTCGAAATGATGGGGAGAACAAACAAAGTCTTGCACCAAGTAGGAATTGAAATCGGGATCGGCCAACGGGAGGGCTCGTGAATACTGTAAGGGGTAGCCATAGCGGTGCACCATTCAGGGACCAAAAGAAGTGCGTTAGCTGCATCGAATTGGTCAGCGTCGCTACGTGACTGACGATGAAACCGGACGTGGAAACCGTTCGAATGGACTTCTGGCGCGTCAGTCACATTGAAAACAGACTTGAAGCCGATCCCCTTACGACCTACAAGGTAAGGAAATAAAAGAATTGAAACATCCTCGAACGAGTCAGAAAGAATCTGGTCACTTAGAGGCGGACAATTATTTGGACTAAGCGGGTTTAGAGAGGAGCTCGAACCCCTAAAGTAAAGGTCTTCAACGAGGTTTATATCGTACTCTACCAGGGGAGCATTTCAACTTTTAAGAGAATTACATGAACAGATCGATTTTACGCTAACTCAAAAGCCAAGTGAAAAATAACAAAAAAAAACCAGCGCCTCCGTTCAAAAGATCTGAACAGGAACTCTAAGTAATGGCATACTAATAAGACACCAGCGTATGAGAGGCTCGAAAGAGAATAATGAAAACTCGCCTGTCTTTATTCCTCGCTGTTGTACTTTTGTACTGATTCCAACATCGCACAGAGAGGACATGTCGGCTTCGGTAAAACCAATCGCTTCGTTGTTCATAACTAACAAGGCTGCTGCCGGCCCTATAGTGTCGTTCGTCTGCTGTGCAATGCAAAACTCTAAAGTAGGTTTCGTGGATGCAGTATACTCGTTGTCATCTGCATTCTGGATCAGTTCCAACAGAAAGTGTCCAGGAAGACCATATAAGTCTTCGGAGAGTTGTAAAAGGCTTCGGGAAAGCTTGCCTTCAACGCGCTGCGTATTGATAATGTAGAGGGAGGTGGAACGAAAAATACAGAAAAAACAAGTTGTTCAGCTCTGGTGTGTACCGACCATGATATCGGAAAGAATTATGAGGGCTGGACTAGAGTCAGGAAGCGCGAACAAGGAAAAAAAGCAGTCGAAAAGCTATTGGTAAACACAAGGCGCGAACCTTCAAGCCGCTGATTTAATAGTTGACCTCAGATTTAGCTTGAGCCGAAGAAATCAAATCGAATCCAGGACATGGAAATGAGTGACTGCAGACGGAATCGCGATGTGAATAGGCGGTAGCTCCGATTATTCTGAGTAAGGCTCGTTTTGCACACGTCTGCCAGCCTAAAGTAACTTGGCTAGTTCGATCTAAACGGATGAGAAAATCACTGAAGATTATATATGAACAAATCTCATTGAAAATGAACAGTCCAGCTGGCTCACGTCAAACTGGAAACCTTGGCACCAACCTTTTCAGAGGCCGTTAAAATTGCATACTTCGGTCGTACCAGTACTTTGAGTGTGTTCGTTAGCATGCAAAGTAAGGACGGCACCGCTTATTCACCGGCACACAATGAGCGCCTTTGCATCACCAGGTCTGAACCAGCCAGCATGCTTGTTCCGCATGGGGATAGTCAATACTACGTGTAGAAGCAGCAAGTAATCTGACCGCCCAACACCAGCCGTTTGACGAACAAGTTGCACTTCGATTGGCTTGCCCTAAAATACCGTTTCCATCATCTCCCATGTTGCCGCCGTGTGAGCACGATCGGCTTTCCATTGAAAGCGGTTTGTACCAGGATTAATATCCTCGGCTAACTATCTATCTCCAAAGAGTCGGTGGTGAAACAAAAGTGAGAATGAACCACAGAACATGAGTAACCCTAAGGTAATCTTTCTGTGTTACTCAGTCATGGCAGCCCAGTTATGCATAGGACTGAAGACAACGCAGTTATCAGTTCAATGCAGAAAGCACACCGCTTACCACCAATGCTTCTCACTCCGGACCTCTGCAAAATGATAATCAGTAAACAAGTGTTTCTCATTAAAAAACGTGACAGCCTATCAACCAGTTGTGGAAAAAACAACCTAGTTCACACTTAAAGCCGAGATCGGTTTGGGACGTCTTATAAATAGAGAAAGCAATATACATTAATACTGACCCGGACAAGATCGGCTGCTTCTTGGGTCAACTCTGCGCCGCATCCAAATTCGCGACGCCTGAGTTCTGTGATGAAGGTTTCTCGGTCAGCCATGTTCGTAGGCTGATTAGTAATATTTGGAATGGAAGTGGACAGATCGCGATCAATTTTATCCGTTTCCACAGAGATGGGCGACAGCGCCTGTGAATATGGGGACAATGGTCCGTGAAAGTTGGAGAAAAACGATGAGAAATTGTTAGATAAATGTATGTATGTAGGGACAACTGTCATTCAACCCATAGATATCAGGGGAGAAGACTTGAAAACCCATCGCTTCATAGAATGTTAAGCAATCGTAAAATCCGAATAGAAACTCGGCGCCACTTGTTCTGTTTGCTTGATGCAGTTGAGGCTGTAATCACAGTACATTAGAACAGAGGTTCTGGCCATAAGATCGCATAGCCAATATACTCATTGTAGGTGGGTAAACACATTCAACCTGTATGGGAAATTCACTTTGGGATCGTAAGTAGACACATCTGTTACAGCTGCGGAAAAGGTCACTTGTCTGCAAGTATTGCAATTTGAAGAATATGGGTGGGCCATCATGAACAAAATTACTCCAGGACCAGATGATACATAACTCCACTGAAAAGACATGGATTCGGAACCACTTAATCGTGCTTCGTTATTTTTAAACCCGGAGTAGCGGGTCCTGTAGATCTCTTCAGAGAGATCTGCTGTTCTTTTGGAGGACAAAGTCCACAAGCTCAAACTCATGATGCAATTGCTCGCTCAGCGACTCACGTGCAGGCATTGAATGTAAGGCAATATCTGTATTCTTCTTGTTATGGTCAGTTTTCCTTAATCAATCCCTCTGGGACGAGCAAAGCAATTTTAGTAAACCGTTCCCGTAAGTGTGTCCTTGTTGAATAAAGGTGCATACATAAAAAACAGGTATTGAGGAGCGGAAGTAAGATGGAAGTTCCGTGTCTCAGAACCAAAGGACCGAAATTATATCAAACTTTTATAGAGCTATCAGGTTGCATAATTAAAAAGTCAAATGGCTTGGCACAATACATACCAAGGGGTGCTGAATGTTCGCAAGTAGCGGGACTTCGAAGGCTGGCTGCACAGTGACGCCCACCAGTGGAGGTGAGGTGTAAGTCGAACGCTGCTTCAGACGTTCCTCCTCAAAGTAAGTCACAAAACTCGGCCAACCAAGTTGCAGACCCAAGCTTCCCAGGGCACAAGTCAGTGTGAAACGTTGATTATGTGAGCGCTCGAGGTCCACGAGATCTAACAGCTGTTGTATGAATCCGGTCGTTTTGGGCGTTGGACCCGGAGAAACCACATCGGAAAGGTCGTTCGCCCAAGAGTTTTTACTTCTTAGACCGGCTTCATCCAAACATGGAACTAAAATCTGTAAAGACATAAAGCTTACCGAGTAAGTTCGACAAAGCGCAAAATGACACGGGACCAAGGAGTAGCAAAGTTACAAGGTTGGTCTTTTAAGGTTTGAAAAAATATTCAAAAGGCTGGAGCGACGAAACAACGAGTGCCAATCTGGTGGGCCGCCATGGTTGAGACTGTGAAAAGAGTGCGCCCAAGGCGCTCGGCAGGTATTATAGAATATTGCATGTGTAAAAAAACTGCTAGTGCAGACATAATTACGAAGAATGAGTGAACGCTTCCCAAAACTCCCGTCGGATATAGAATATTGCATGTGTAAAAAAACTGCTAGTGCAGACATAATTACGAAGAATGAGTGAACGCTTCCCAAAACACAGTCCCGTCGGAGATAGAGAATATCGGAGGCAAAGAATCCCTTGTCAAAATGGTTTGAGCAACCTACTCATGTCAAGCTTAACTTTACCATAGATTCACTCGTGGCAGACGCCTGCCACAGAACGAACAATGATACTCTGATTTCGAAAAAAACATTCTCACTGCATTAACAACTCGCGTAACCGTGGGAAAGTGGCCTAGCCCAAGCGAACACAATTGCCCTATCCTGGAGAGACGGACATTAACAACTTTTGGTTGGACCACAGGAGGGTAGTTCAGTCACCCAATAAAAGAGCCATTTTGGCTAACTCCTCAGGGTGGTCTCTCCAGAAGAGGACAATTATATATATATATATATATA